TTCAACCAGGCCAAAGGAGCTGTTGTGTCGTGGCATGAAAAGTGCTAGAAAATGCAAAAAGTAGCAACAAGCATCAGTAGCATTTTCTCCATCGAGCTATGACACAGCCGGCCGCTGGGCTGGCGTCACAAGCATACGTTGACGTTTTCCCCTTGCGAAAGAGATTGCAAAAGAGCACAAGTCACGGGTAGATGTGAGGCAGAGAATGGAGTAATAGAATTGATATTGAAAATTGGCGACATCCCCCTGCAAAAACTTCCGCAAATGAAGATTGCATGGCCTTGAAGTCCGGGTGTCGGATCATCTGACCTACCAAAAATGAGGTAGACATCAATCATCTGTTCATAGAATGGAACTATCTGGCCTGGGCTGTCAGGATATTCCCAGGTCATCCAACTCCAACATGCAGTTTGTGCTGAGTTGCCTCCCGTGATGAAGTGTGACAAAGAAACAAAAGTTCCTTTGCTGCCAAGTTATCCTTGGAAACTTTGATGCAATGCAAACAGTCTCCGCATTCCCCCCCGTTTCGTACATGCAGAGTGACGTGTGAGGTTCAAATTCTCATTCCAAGGATATGATCTTTCTCCTTTGCGGCATGAATGGGATGGTGCGTTGTCCCCCTGAATCCATTTACATACTATTGTGTCTGCATGGCAGAGGTGCCACAAAGGCCTCGGCACCAAAGTGCTCAGCAATTTGTTTGCACCCTTCACACAAGACATTCTAGTTCCACCCAAGCAAAACTTTTTTGCGAATCTAGTTTCAGACATTGCCCATTGCCCAAGTATGAGGAAACAAATGTTGCTGTCATCGCACGCTCAGCAGGACCTGTTCGCCGCTAGCTGAACTTACCCAGAGAATAATCTGTAAAAAAATGTGTGGAATCACCAATCAACCCAGCATATAGCTGATCATTATAGCATTTCTCTTGATCCCCCATCTGCCGGAAGTGAACTAGCTTGCATAAATTGATGTCCATCGTAATTCTTATCACTAGGTGTAAAATTGCAGAAAACGTATCCAGTTCACGTTGGCCACGATCATTTTTCACCACTTTCACCACTATGGGGCCCATGGGGAAGTCAGAATGCGGGGCATCTCCAGCAGTGGCTTATCGCACTGATCTTCCCATGGACGACTGTTTCATCTCGATGTCATGTTTGCACCGAACCTAAAGAACCTTTCGCAACAAAGAAGGGCTCGTAGGATAAGACGTTGAGTATTTACAACAAGGTACAGGGACCCCAAAATATCATGAGTCATGGATATTATATCAAAACTTCGTGCCCGAATCAGATCTTCGCCCCGGTGACATCTGCAATTTATCCGATGCACTTCGTTCTCACAAGCCAACAAATGGCTTGTTCTAGCCTTTGACTCTGCGTCAAATAGAAATGATACAAAAAAAGTTGGCAATAACTGCATCACGAAAGCCTTCTGCCATCTGTAAGTAAAGCAACATTCCCACCATCAGCATAAATGTGTGGAGACGTAAAACTTCATGGGAGCAGCATCCTTCAGCCCCCCTTCACACATGTATGAACTCCACCCATCCCTTGCCAGGGCCTCCATTGCCAAGAAAACTAGTGCAAAAGATCCAGCCAACTCTGCAGTGACCTGAGGTGCAGGTGGCAACAAACTCTTTGACACAACCAATTGAGTTCGGCGGAAAAGATGCAAGATGCATCTCAAAATGCTGGTGTAAAAACAAATGCACACACAAGGAAGAAGCTTGGCAGCAAGAGGGAGAAATGAACAAGAAGAATGGGCAAATGCCGAGAAGAACGAAGTAAACACACAAAAATCAATAGAGATTTGAAATTCAGGAGCATCACCGGATCCCAAAATGAGAGGAAGTATCTGGACATCGTCCACTGTCATTTCTTTGGCGTGTTGCTTAGGGTCCAACAGACCACAATCTCCCCTCCACACTGCCTTGGGCATGTCATCACCCTCAGCCGCTGCCACACGCGCGCAGACCTCAGAGAAAAAGGCGCCCTGACAGGTCCAAAGGATGCCGGCGCCAAGGCCGCCCACCAAGGCTCCTACAAAAAAGCAAAACTGCAAGCATTTCTACAGTCAGAAATGAACTGTGGAACCAAAACAGTAGAAAGGCTTGAAGTTTGAGACTCGATAACCAGCCATCTGGTGCGCAAAAAAAACAAACCAGTCTTACGTAGCATTGCGCCTACCAAGTTGATGGGCAGCTGAAGATGTCCACCACGGATGCAAGAGCCGTTCTCTTCGTGTTTCTCGTCACACAGGGCAGCTGCAATGGCAAAAAGCAAGACGTAAACGCCTGGCCAGGTTCACCCACAGAGTCGACAATTCATAGCAAAATCATACATATCATTTAATCAAAATAGAAATATAGCTTTGCCCTGCAAAAGCGAAATCTTCCATCCGCTATTAAGGCCCAGGTGATATCCACGTGTTTACCCTGTTGTTCAGTGACACTCAAGTCTGGTCCAGAACGAAGGAGGTGTCTACAACGAATCCGGTTTGGATGCAATTCCTTGCTTTTCCTCATGGATAAAAGAGTCACTTGGGGGGAAGGGCGGAATAAGAACAGCAGGGTGCCCAAAAGTCCCTAAAACCAACCATTGATTCGCCCAGTGACTATAGAGTCCCATGGAGAGCGACAGACCTCGCTTCGAACCCAGAAGCCCGAAGATCAGCGTGGAGAAGAACAAGCTGCAAATCAGTGTTGCACCATAGAGCACAGCATTACCTGCTTGGCCACTGGCGTTCCTGTAACAAGTGTGGAGAGAGACTCTGGATGAGGGGACTGCACTCAAAACAGACCTCAAGACTCAAGCCCAGAGACATCAGTATGAACAATCAAAGTGATTGGTAAAACATTGCTTCCAATAGGCCCCTCCACCAAGAACTGCAAGACCTTTCAAAATGGGATGCAAAAAAACAAATCTCAGCAACCAGAGAAATCTTGATGAATTCATTTGGAAAATACTGTTGGCATTAGCTCAATCTGCTTGACCGGCAAAACTGGAGCAAGCCCCAACAAATGTATCTCCTTATGGTTACTATTCATGGCAAGCCCTCTCCTTGTAGTTACCCCTGTATCTCATCAAATACCATTATGGCAAGCCCTCAAAGACACATTGCTCAGGTTCGTGTTGGTGCCTTGGGTTCGCTTTCCTATCCAACATTAGGTCTAGGTTTTGCCAGAAGAGAACGAAAAGTGCTCAAAGCCCACCACTCAAACCAGTTGGGTCCGAGAAGCGGAATCTTTCTTTGAGCACTTGATGCACTGTGAGGCATCCCAAACCTGATTCCCCTGCCGAAACTTGCTTACAGCCAGGGCACGTCAGCACTGAGGACGCATAGAGGATGGGTGTGGTGACAGCTGCATGGTTCAGCGAGAGCATCCAAGTCATAATGGCAAACTCTCGGCGGTAGCGCTTAGGCTCCAGTGGTGAAACAACAGCAGGCTCAGCAAAGTCCTGGAGGAGCAAAGCAAAGGGTATGGTCGGTCCCAGCAGTTAGTTGAAAGAGTGTGGAACACGCATGAACACACCAAATCAAGTGGATGAAGGGTGGTTCTTCCCTCTTGATGCGAGCCACATGTTTGTATTCAAGCTGTCATTTAGGATTGGTGACTTGCATGCTCTAATGATAGGATCATGCTAGGGAATATGATGTTGGTCTGTCCTCTTGGTGTGCCAAACCTTGCAAACTGGCTTGAAGTGACAAAAGAGTCTACACGGATCTCCTCTGAAATAGCAACATGTCCTAGACCTCACCTTCCCATGGGAATCTGTGCAAGAGATTCAAGGGACGAAATCGTCCTCTTTGCTGGGTGATCCGAGGTCGTTGGGACGCTCGCAGGCTCTGGACACCAACCAGCCCATGATGTGCACTCGTGAGATGTGGCCTCGGAGAGCGGGCGTCAGACGGCGTCAGACTGACGGCGTCAGACTGCGTGGCAGTGGCTAGTTCAACCCATGTTTCATTGGGTGTCTTCTAAGCTATTCTTGTTCACAGTGCAATCAATGGTCGTTCGGGACAGTGGATCCAAGTCCTGAAGTCCCTTTATTCGGTGTTGAAGAGTCTCTGATCAGCCGCTCACCTGGTGCTCATGCTCAGAACAGACCTCTCAATGATTCTCCTGTATCGATGCACACTTACGCACCGGACGAGTCCATCAGTTTACGTTCCAAAATGCGCCAGTTTCCATACCAGCTGGTTCCTTACGCAGCTGTTCTTTAGGTCTTGAAACATTCAACCACCCCAACGCAGTGGAAGCCCCAGGCGCCTGTCATGTGTGTAGATGCAGCCAGCTGAGGGCCAAAATGGCTGGGAATCCGTGTGCTAAATCCAACTAGTGAACTTATGGGTCAACAGCTTCATTTGCCCGCCAACATGCTAGAAAAACAGATTGTTTTCGACTGAAAATGATAGAACCAGAAGCAAAGTGAAACTAAATGATAGTTTCTCAAGCAAACCTCCGACCTTGGCGATATCATCACCAATCCTGCCTTCGCGTTTGGCTTCTTGGCATTCTTGGGATTTTTGTGGTCACGTTGGTGCCACCATCCGAAGATGGAATACCTAGCACATCCGACACGCTATATGGGTGGCTATACTGGGTCCCAAAAGCAACCCAGCAAAAAGCAATCCTTTTCTACACACCAGGGTTTCGTCATAGATGTTGAGTTGGTACAAGAGTGGAATCCTGTGACTTTTGTTGTCCAATCAAGAAGCTCACAAGAAAGGGTTGATTGAACGTTTGGGTTGGAGGAGGGTTGAAGCTTTAAGCCTGCATGCAAATGGTCACCCAAAAAGGGGACAGCCGCACTGCCACACCAACAAAATGTCAAAGGAATGGAGAAGGCATAACGGCGATTGGATTACAACACTGACATTGAATCAACCATGGTTCTCCTTCAATGGTTTCAATAGCTTACAGCTTAACCAAATCCGAGATGCCTCCCCACAACCCACCCCTTCTTGAAGCCCCAGCCTGTAACGGTCTGAAGTCACTGCTGTGACGCTGTGCCAGTGGGGCACCTGCAAGAAAGTACCAGCGCGATGGGTGCCCTGCGGATTGGTGAGTGGTTTCAGGAGGTTGAAGCTGAGACAAGCCCAATGAGCCATCAGTTTCCAGAGAAGCATAGATCATTCTACATCGCAGAAGACGCAACTGACACACTCGACTCTGCTGCAACTGTCAAGAAAATGCACAGCAATGCGTGTCCCACACTTGAAGACAGGCCTATGTCTTTCTACAAACACATAGGCCTCACATGTCAGGATTAAACACTGCATGCTTAATGCGCATAATGGTTGCCCACCTTGTCCATATGTCACCCGTTTTTGCTCCAAAGCTTAGATGTGGACCCCGCTTCAGCTCTCCCGCATCCATGGCCTCAAAGAACACCAGAGAGTTGTAGATGGGAAGAAAGTGTTTCTCCTCCAGCACTCAAGGCAGATTCCAGATTCCTGCTAGTCAAATAGTTGAACTCATGCAAGTCCTTTTGCCT